CATAAATTTTGACGAGGCATGAAATCTTCTCGTCGTGCATAATTAATGACTCGCGATGCATGATTCCGCGATGCATGATTTCCGCGATGCATGAATCCCAGCGAGGCATAAATTCTTCTCGCGATGTATAAATTTTGACAAGGCATGAAATCTTCTCGTCATGCATAATTATTGACTCACGATGCATGATTTCCGCGATGCATGATTTTCAGCGAGGCATAAATTCTTCTCGCGATGTATAAATTTTGACGAGGCATGAAATCTTCTCGTCATGCATAATTATTGACTCGCGATGCATGATTTCCGCGATGCATGATTTTCAGCGAGGCATAAATTCTTCTCGCGATGTATAAATTTTGACGAGGCATGAAATCTTCTCGTCATGCATAATTTCCAGCGAGGTATGGAGTTTTCTCGCGATGCATAAATTTTGACGAGGCATGAAATCTTCTCGTCGTGCATGCTTAATGACTCGCGATGCATGATTTCCGCGATGCATGATTCCGCGATGCATGCTTCCGCTATGCATGATTCTTCTCGCGAGGTATGAAGTCTTCTCGCGATGCATAAATTTATATCGCCCCCATGGATAGTAACGGTAAGACGATCTCCAAATAATATATCGACTTGATCGATAACGATGAAATAATAATTGCATAACTGTCTCTTCTGAGGTAGTGCATGGTCTTGATCGACAATAATCATCTTGCTTTGATAACTCAATGCAAATAGCGTCTTCTATAGAAATCGTGAAATCTCCGTTGAGATTCCTGTTTGATTCATCTTCGAATCTGGCTGGATACTTTGTAAATTTCCCATTGTTGAGAATGGTCTGAAATAAACAAACACATTCATAAGCATCCTGACACAAACGATATTCCTGCTTTCAATCAAATTCTGGTTTTGGAGATAGTTTTCTCCTTCTCCGTATTCATCCGTCGGAAGAATTTGGCCGATTTCGAAGCGAAGCTGTGAACCTGCATCCACAGAAAAATTGTCAGTTTTAAACATACTGATCTGTGTCGATCTCTTTGGTTGTTTGCTCCTTGTCCTGATATCTTCGGTTGATTTCCTGATTTCCCGACTCTTGATAGATAAGAAAATATCTTATGCCAAAAAAGATGAAATATAAAAGGGAAATTTTTAAGAGAAACAAGATTTTTTTTAAATAGTATCTTGAAAAAGTCACTGCCAAGTCATGTCATGTCAGACTTAACGAGCTTTTTTGAGTTCAACACTTGTCGAAGGAATTTCAGAGGCATTTCGGACATGCATGGAAGACCCATGACGAAATTTTGAGGCCATCCTCAAAATTTCTGTCCCAGTTTAGTATCTTGCTCATCTTTTCATTGTAACCGAATAAATCGCAGAATTTTTGAGATCTCCTCAAAAATTCTGTCCCAGTCGCAAATTCGAAATGTCTTTAGTTTGATCCACTAAAGAGAAGGTTCCTTCTGGAGAATTTTTGAGTCCCTCTCAAAAATTCTGTCCCAGTTTCTATTGTAGAAGGGGAAATAGAACTTACGAGATATATGACCGAGCCCTTGTGGCGCCTACGTATCCCGTTGAGGCAGGAATCAGGTCAAACGTAGTTCCCCTTAAAGGTTAAAAAGAATAGATTTACAAAGAAACCGACTGAGGCCGACAAAGGCCGCCTACGTATCTCATTCTTGAGGATTCAGGTCAAACGTAGTTCAAATACAAAGAAATGATTAAAGGGGTAAATGGGGTGACCGAAGCTGACATAGGCCGCCTACGTATCTCGTTCTCGAGAATTCAGGTCAGACGTAGTTCGTTACAGGAGGGATAAGAATTCAAATTCGAACAAATACAAGCAAACAGAAGATTACAAGTAAATGATGGAAAATGCAAAACGAACTTCACGCGTAATATCTCTTGACAACATCTGAGTTGATAGGCTTCGGCCATACAGCGCCATCCATCTCTGACAAGACTAAAGCACCTCCAGATAGTACTTTGCGAACCATGTAAGGACCTTGCCAGTTTGGTGCGAACTTTCCTTTGTACTCGTCTTGATGAGGAAAAATACGCTTAAGGACCAACTAA